AACAGATTCCACCTTGACTGGAGTCATTCGGTCCAATGGTAGGAGCCCTGCCATTTGACGTTGGGGTGAAGAACCTTCATTAACTCCTGTGACCACTTCTGCAGCCTTGACACCGGGACCGGAGTTCCCACAGCGCGTGCGGCGAGAAGCTTCGAATACACCTGCGTCTCCATATCGGCGTACCAAGAAGACCTCCCCTACCCATGCAGCCTCTTACGGCAGCCGTGGGCAGCTCTTAGCTCCTCCTCCTGCTTTGACCACTCGTTGATGCGGCGGCGTGAGATTCCAGACTCGCGCGGGACTTCGTTCTTCTTCTTCACCTCTTTCAGCCGGTCAAGCCAAAATAGCTTCTCCTTGGCTGTGTAGGAGTTCTGATTCCTCCCGCTCATCCGATTCCTGGTGGATGGGGGGCAGGCATCTTGGTTCACAGAAGAAGGATGTGGCGGTTTTCTGCCCTTAAGAAACGGCGGCACAGGGAGCTTCTCGGGAAGATCATCCCGAGACCAGTACTCGGCTCCATCGTCAGCATCCGCGTCGTGCTCGGGCCAGTCATCGCCGTGCGGAATTCCCCAATCACGAGCAGCTGGTGGCGCAGCGGAAGAGCTAGGGTCGAACTTTGGATGGGCATTGATGTCGTCTTGCGGAATTTTCTCGCCCGGCAGCAGCAGAGTCAGGACCGGCAGTCCGTACAGGAACAGAGGAGAAGGTGGTGCTGGCGGGGCAGGAGGACTGGGAGGAGCCGGCGGAGCAGGAGGGGCAGGGGGAGCCGGAGGAGCCGGAGGAGCGGGAGGTGCAGGAGGAGCTGGACGATGCTCTGCTCTAATGCACGTGGGCTCACCTGGTCTACCAAAAAGGATCGAAATGCCAGATACTAGAAAGCCTGCCATAGCTCTCGCAAGGGGAACAGGTGCTGCTTCAGAGTTCACATTGATCGGAAATGAAATATGAACCCCTCGACAAGGTACCCCCTCATGGAAGGCGGCATGGGTTCCTTGTCGGGAGCAGATTCCTCGTCGATGAAAGGGGTGGAGGAAGGAATCTTGTTAGCAAGATTCCTGTCCATATTCCTGGTACCCTAAGCCCTGTCGCTGCCCTGGTGCGGATGTTGCAGGAACGTGGTCCCCAACACCACTGAACCATGTATGCTGGCACAGCACGGCACCAGGATCGCTTGTGATAGGGCCGAATTGGCAGCTTTCTTGCCTTGCTGTGCTGGTCGCACCTTCAAACCTTGTTTCCATGCATGTTCTCGGCATGTCCCCTCTGGAACCACGCCCAATAGCCTGCAAACATCAAGACCTACAGTTTCCCGTTTTTTTTTTATTATTATTATTCTGTAAAAATCGTTATGAACGCCCATGGGCGTATACTTATTATTCAATTAAACGCCCCCCCTTTATTTCAAACTAGTCCCATAAACGCCCCTAGGGACGTCTATCCGGGTGATTACGGTACCCCTCGAAGTGCACAAACAGTTAGACTCTTCATATCCTTTTGTATTATTATATAAACCTTGTAACCCTTTGCTATAATCAGGCCCTCAGATTCAAATTTAGGCACCCTGTGCCCTCAGGGTTCACCCTCTGAAAAGCGTGCACCCCTCAGGATTTGAGCGCTATGCACACCCTGTTTACACAGGGCATCTTCAATACCAAACCCTGAGCTGTCAGGGCACTTTTAAATGTGCAGATTTTTCATTACAACCAGCCTCACAATGTTTATTATGAAATGTACACTACAGACAGTATGGCAGAGTAGTACCTACCACATCGTTCATTACAGTTCAGATACATTAGATTACATATTTCCTTCGTCATCAGAGCTAAACCCACAGCTACTGTCATCATCATCCTCTCGCTCACCATCCTCCTCTCTCTCGTTATCTGACAAATGCACTTACTTCTCCTTGCCCTTGTCGCTCCTTGGGCGGACACGGGACTGCTCCTTCTTCTTGCTGGGCCGACGCTTCTTGGTTTTGTGCCACAGGTCAACAACCGCGTCCCAATCCATTTCATAGTCTAGCATGCTCATGCACATGAGATCCGACAGCTTGCCATTGCAGAGACTGGTGCGTTACCAACTTTTGATCACGTTTTGTCTGCTGAAACCTCGCTCACATTCAACGGTGCTGATGGGGAGGACAGCGACAGCCACCCACAGGCGAACCAATTTGGGGTAGCTCTTGGGCCAGTCACTAGTCTGAAGCATGGCCGCCAGGCCATCATGAAAGCTGCGCTCTCCACATGGAGCCCCTTGAAGCACGGGCACTAAGGTCTTCAGCTCTTTCCTTGCTATTCTCTTGTCCACTCCTACCACGCACACAGCACAAGAGCAGCAAGCCTGGCAGCAAGCACAAAGCCCGGCAGCAAGCCTGGCAGCAAGCACAAGGCCCAGCAGCAAGCCTGGCAGCAAGGATAAAGCCCGGCAGCAAGCCTGGCAGCAAGCACAAAGCCCAGCAGCAAGCCTGGCAGCAAGCACAAAGCCCGGCAACAAGCCTGGCAGCAAGCACAAAGCCCGGCAGCAAGCACAAAGCACGGCAGCAAGCCTGGCAGCAAGCACAAAGCCCGGCAGCAAGCCTGGCAGCAAGCACAAAGCCCAGCAACAAGCCTGGCAGCAAGCACAAAGCGCAGCAGCAAGCACAAAGCCCAGCAACAAGCCTGGCAGCAAGCACAAAGCCCGGCAGCAAGCCTGGCAGCAAGCAGCAAGCATGGCAGCAAGGTGAGGCATACCTGGCAGCACTTCTCTTTTGTCGCCCGCGTGGAACATGCTGATGATCGACTCCAAGTGCTCCGCGCACAGCTCATCCCACGCCTCTGTGTTCCGGGGCCAAGTATCAGGCATCCACAGCCTCACTCTGTTCAAGTTGTCGAGGTCGCCGAGTCTCTGCCCCAAGTTGTCGACCGCTGCCTTTGCGAACACTCTGCAAGGGTCAAAACAGGACAACAAATCCCCCGGGATCTTGCTGTAGCCCAGAAGCTCCTTCTCGTGCAACTTGAACTGGTGCACTCACGACCGGCCTCCCTTGTCAACTCCCTCCACTGTCACCTTGCGGCTGTTGGTCGCACCATGTTGCGAGAGAAACTTGGCCAGGCGCTTGCTCCCATCACCCCCAAAATGCTCGCCACATGTGATGTAGCGCTGACGGATGTAGACGCAGGTGCGTTGGACCAGAGACCCCACTCCCGTGAGGTCCACCTGAGTGGAAGGGTGGAAGATAGGTAAAAACAAAGGGACAAGTGAATAATATTTCCAAAAACTTCAACACATACATACATTGCAGCGGCCTACCTCTCGAGCCTGGAATGCCAAGTTGAGGTTGTTCAGCTCCTCAAGAATATCTGCTAGGAAGAACAGGTACACGTGAAATTTGAGAGATGTAACCACGTGGTACATCTCCGCGCCATATTCTAGGAGGAGGACAACCGTAGTAGGCAGCACTTCGACGAGCCTCAGCACAGCCATGCCGCGGCTGAGCCACATAACAAGGTGGATGCATTGGAGCTCTAGGTTCGTCATCGAGAAGATTGCCTGCAGCTCCTTAAACAGCATGTGCCAGTTGTGCGACCTCCCCAGCAGCTCGGCGACGGTCCTCAGGATGAGGTCCACGATGCCAAGCTCTGGTGCGGCACTAGCGGCGTCCTTTGCAGCTAGGGCCTCCCTAACCAAGCGGAACAACAAAGACATAATCAGCTATGCGAAAGGAACAACGGAACAAAGAAGGGATAATTAAAAAATAAAGCAATAATGGAACAAAGGGACACTGGAACAATGAAGGGACAATGAAGCAATAAGGCAACAATGGAACAATGAACGGACAATGAAGCAATGAAATGCGCAACAAACTTACCGATGGGCGATGCAGTGAAAGGAGACAAGATGAGGTAGGCGAAGACAAAGTCGCGTGACCAAACCGCCCGTGGTGCCCATCATGACCGCGGCTCCGTCATGCTGATTCCCTCGACTTTGTTCAGATCCAATCCGATGCTCTCCAGATGAGCTAGGAGCACTGCAAAAAGGGGCGCAGCATCACATTTCTCGACAGGCAGCAGTGCAAGGAATTCAGTGACCACTCGCCGTTCACGAATGAAAGTAGCGAATACAATCATGTGCTTACCGCAGACTCTGTCAGAGCTCTCATCACAGCTGAGCCCGATGAACAGACTCGACTGCAAGTACTCGCGCTGCCTGGCATGCAAGCATGTCGCTGTGGATGTGGTGAGCTCCTGGAAGCCGTACCTGCAACGAAATGAGAAGAGAGAATAAGAGAGTGGTGAGCTCCTAGAAGCCGTTCAAGATAAGATGAGTGTACAAGAGAGTGCTGAGATCCTAGAAGCTATACAAAGACGAAAACAGTACGCCTGCATGGAATGGACAGTGGGGTTACCAACAGCAATACTCACGTTGTGAAATAGGAACCATATCCCTTCTTCGGGAAGCTCAGCGCGCGCCTTCGCGAAAGATAATTGCACAGCTCCACCCACATCTCAATCGGCGCATCTGACTGGCAGATGAACAGAAGCGTCTCCAGGAGCGCGATGACCCGTTCCTTCTGTTGTGTGATGTCATCATATGCTATCACATTCTGTCTGCCTCCCATCCCTTGTTTCAATTCACATGTATGGTTTGATTGTGTGTGAAAGAATTTGTGTGGTATGTGTTATGGAGTTTGGGAATGTGTTTTGTGTTATTCTGTCTGAGCAGGTATTTTGTGATAGATCTTGAGAAGATCTTTCCGACACAACGAGAATCCCTTCAATCGGAGCAAGAACGCGAAAGCTATGAAGTTTCAAAGTTCATGAGCTTGCGTTACAATTGCGGCGGTTACAAAGTGAAGTTGTGGGGTGACTCTATATGGAGTTGGGACCTTTGGGGTTGGGAAAATTCGTCACTCTACTGTAACAGCTGCAAATTGGTTGGGAACAACCAAGCTAGGTTGGCAAGAGTGGCCAACTTGGATGGATTGGTTGGGAAGGGACAAATGTCAAAGTTGGGGTTCCTATAGGGAGGGAATCTTTGTGCTTATGGGGTTTCCTTGGTTGGGGACTCTCTTGGGACCTTTCCTCTCATCCCTCTCTTCTATCCCAACCTTTCTCTTGCTCCTCTAATTCCTTGTGAGATTCTTGAACTTTAATTGAACTTTTGAGATTGAGTTAAGTTCTCCTCCTACAGCTTACCCCCTAATGCGTCGAAAGTCATAGCGTCGCGAATACTTCATCAATCAACGTGATTCAAATTGGGAACGGTAGCTGACATTACGAGCTACAACATACCCGAGTTTCGCGACATTCCAACTGCTAGTTGTTCGTCGAAATCGTTTCTTGTGAAGACGACTTTTCTGTCCAGAATTTCGGATTTATATTTTGAGGAATTCTAGACTCCGTCCTTCATCCTAGCAAGTGGTATCAGAGCCATACTAAGGACATTAAGAGGAGTCTACAGAAGTGTGAAGACCCTTATAGACCCACCATGGCAAGTGGGTGTGCCTAAGTGGTGTTCTAAAGGTTGGATGTGTCTTCCGCTAAGGGGAAACTCTGCCGAAATTTCGTGGACGCCGACACTTCTGAAAATATCAAGGGAGCTGTGTGTGGACAGCAAAGGGGAGCTGAAATTCGTCATTTCTCAAGGAGAAGATGAATGAGAGAGGAGGAGATGCTAATGGAAGAGGAGCTGTACCTGAGAAGACAAGTGAGCCGCCGCCATCAAAAGTTGAAGCTTTGGATGGCTCCAACTATGAGGAATGGAGCGGTCGGATGAGGAGTGCCTTCAAACGCTACAAGCTACTAAAGATTGCTGTTGGGGAAGAGAAGATGTCGGAAGAAGGCGAAGCACGTGAACGGTGGATTGAGAAAAACGTGGTGCTTTTCGACCTCATCCTTCAATCGGTCAACAAGGAGATGTTCGAGCACATCAAGGATCTTGTGGAAGCGGATGATTCGGGTCCAAGGGCGTAGAAACTACTACGTGATGTGATTCAGCCCAACACTCTCCCGATGGTGATCGTACTCGAGAAGGAACTTGTTGCCATCTCCATGCGACCAGGGGACGATGTGAAGCCGGTCCTTGATAAGATCAAGGACACCTATGTAAGGATGGCAGCAGCGGGCAGCAGTGTATCTCAGCTTCAGCAGTGCACCAAGATCATCTCGGTATTGGACAACACTTGGGACAACCTCATCCCCACCCTCAACTCTCAGCAAGATCAATGGACACCAGAGTGGCTAAGGCAGCAGATTTTGTAGGAGGACTTCCGCAGACGCCATGTGGGAGGCGGTGCGTCTACTAAGACTGCTGAGGGGTATGGAGCTGCAGGGCGCAGCAGAGGAAGAGGGGGTTGGAGAGGCCGAGGCCGTGGGAGGAGCTTTGGCAGAGGTAGAGGCCGAGGTGACTATAATGAGGGGCATGGGAGCTCTAGTGGCAGGGGGAGTACCAGAATCGAGGGCACCTGCTGGTACTGCAAGAAGGTCGGGCATCCTTGGTTCAAGTGCTTCAGCAGGACGGAGGGATGGGCACCTCCAGGCATGAAGCTGCCAAGTAGTGAACGCGCACAAGGTGGCGCTGTGCAAGGCTCAGGTGCACAAGGTGAAGGTGCACAAGGTAATGCCTATCCTGGGATGTTTCTCATGGTTGAGGATGTGCATGGGCATGAGGGTGATGTGGGATCTATGGGAAAGGTTGTGATGCACCCTCTCACGCACTGGGTGATTGATTCAGGTTGCACCAGTCACATGACCCCACGGACAGATTTGCTTGATGAGGTAAAACCCCCTAGGAAGATTAAGTATGTGGCAGCAGCGTCAGGTGCTTTGCTCCCTGTGATTGGTGTTGGAAATGCCAAGGATAAGGGAGCTAATGGGGAGCTTGTGGGGTTTGGGAATGTTCTGCTGGTTGAAGGTTTGTCTGCTAACCTTCTCTCTGTGCGGCGACTGCAGAAGAGCAAGGCCGAAGTGACCTTTGGACTAACCAGCTGCCGTGCTAAGCTTGGGAAGAAGGTGCTGTGGAGTCTGGAAGAGGAGACCAGCTGCATCAAGGACCTATGGCAGCTGCCCATCATCCCTTGGAATGGGAAGACTCCAACAGCAGCAACGGCAGCAGCGGCAAAGGCAACAGCAGGAGGAGATGCAACTGCACCAACTGATGGGGTCCTGGAAGCTGTCAAGAAACTGCAGCAGCAGCAGGCACATGGTGAGGTGCTTGCTGGTGTGGATGCGAGTGTGGCATGGGCTAAGGCTTCATCAAGGAGTGGTGAGACCGATTGGGAGACATGGCATGAGAGGCAGTGTCATGTGAACTTCCCTATGCTGCAGAAGTTGGTGAAGGATGGGAGCCTGAAGGGCTTGGAGGTGAAAGGGGGAGTGAAGGAGATTGGGAGCTGCCCTACATGCTTGGAGACCAAGTTCTCCAAGTTCCCCTTCAGCAGCACTACAGGACCAACCAAGACCCCACTTGCACTTGTGCACATGGATGTGGTGGGGCCCACAAGAGCCCCTTCCCTCTCAGGCAGCCGCTATTTCTTGACAATTGTGGATGACCACACTCGGGGAGTGTGGGTTTACCCTTTGAAGAGCAAGGGGGAGGTGGCAGCGGCTGTCCTTAAGGAGTGGATGCCTAGAGCTCAGAGGGAATGCGGACACAAGTTAAAGGTGATCCGCAGTGACAATGGTGGGGAGTTCATTGGAGCTGATTTTGAGGGGGAGTTGAAGAGGAAGGGGATCCAGCATCAACTGACAGTGCCCTACAACCCGCAGCAGAATGGCGTGGCTGAGAGGTTCAACAAAACCCTGCAGGAGGGGGCACACACTCTCCTTGGGCGTGCAGGGCTGCCTGATCCGTTTTGGGTGTGTGCATTGAGGCAGGTCGCCCTTATGAAGAACAGGGTGCTGGCTACAGTTGGGGATAAGGAGTGGATCCCGCATACCAAGTGGTATGGGAGTGCTCCAGCTGTGAACATGCTGAGGGCATTTGGGTGCATGGTGGTGTTTCATGTGCCCAAGGAGAAAAGGGGGAAGTTGGAGGCTTCTGGAAGATGGGGTGTGCACTTGGGGATTGCAAAGGATCACAAGGGGTGGCTGCTGTGGGACTTGACCACCCAGAAGCTGACAGTGTTAAGGGATGTGAAGTTTCTTGAGTCCCTGTACTACAAGGAATGGAAGCAGCAGCAACAGAAGCTTCCATCTACACCACTCATTGTGGAGGCAGATGAGGTGCAGCGGGCCTTCAAGACAGGTGGAGGTTGCAGTGTCTGAGGAGGAGATGTCTGGGGTGACTGAGGAAGGGGGAGCAGCTGAAGTGGAGCAGCAGCAGCAGCAGCATGAGTCTCCACCTCGAGTTCCACACCCGCCTGAGTGACCTAGGAGGGATGTGCGCCCTTCGGTGAGGCTGACCTATGGGGGAAGAGGCAAGCCGAATGTGGTGCAGGCTGGGGGTGTAGTTAAGCAGATTGAGGAAGATGAGATTGCATTGTGCTATTGGGCTGCAATTTCTCAGCCCAAGGTACGAATGCTAGCTTCAACTCAGTGAAAGCGGATGGCACCAGCATTGGGGGTTATGTGTGCTTGCTGGGAGGTGGTGCTGTGAGCTGGCGTAGCAAGAAGCAGAATGAGGTGGGATTGTCCTCATGTGAGACTGAGTACATGGCCTTACATCATGGGGCCAAGGAAGTGGTGTGGCTGAGGCGCTTGTTGGAGGAGTTGGGAGTTGGTCAGGAGGAGCCGACAGTTGTGTTCTGTGACAATGAGTCTGCAGTGAAGCTCGCCAAGAATGCTTGTCTGCATGGGCTGACAAAACACATAAGGCCTAAATGGCATTGGGTGAGGAGACTCCTTGATAAGGAGGTGCAGCTGTAGATAGTGAAGACCCATCAGCAGGCAGCAGATATTTTCACTAAGCGTCTGGCAGAGGCGGATCATTGGAAGGGCATGAAGCTTGTTGGGATGAGTGTGCATTGAGTATGCATGATTGAGATATTGGTATGGTGGATGATGGTTGGCAGCCAGAGGGGGAGATTGTTGTGTGATGTCATCATATGCTATCACATTCTGTCTGCCTCCCATCCCTTGTTTCAATTCACATGTATGGTTTGACTGTGTCTGAAAGAATTTGTGTGGTGTGTGTTCTGGAGTTTGGGAATGTGTTTTGTGTTATTCTGTCTGAGCAGGTATTTTGTGATAGATCTTGAGAAGATCTTTCCGACACAACGAGAATCCCTTCAATCGGAGCAAGAACGCGAAAGCTATGAAGATTCAAAGTTCATGAGCTTGCGTTACAATTGCGGCGGTTACAAAGTGAAGTTGTGGGGTGACTCTATATGGAGTTGGGACCTTTGGGGTTGGGAAAATTCGTCACTCTACTGTAACAGCTGCAAATTGGTTGGGAACAACCAAGCTAGGTTGGCAAGGGTGGCCAACTTGGATGGATTGGTTGGGAAGGGACAAATGTCAAAGTTGGGGTTCCTATAGGGAGGGAATCTTTGTGTTTATGGGATTTCCTTGGTTGGGGACTCTCTTGGGACCTTCCTTCTCATCCCTCTCTTCTATCCCAACCTTTCTCTTGCTCCTCTAATTCCTTGTGAGATTCTTGAACTTTAATTGAACTTTTGAGATTGAGTTAAGCTCTCCTCCTACAGCTTACCCCCTAATGCGTCGAAAGCCATAGCGTCGCGAATACTTCATCAATCAATGTGATTCAAATAGAGAACGGTAGCTGACATTAAGAGATACGACATATCCGAGTTTCGCGACATTCCAACGGCTAGTTGCTCGTCGACATCGTTTCTTGTGAAGACAACTTTTCTGTCCAGAATTTCGGATTTATATTTTGAGGAATTCTAGACTCCGTTCTTAATCCTAGCACCTTCACGATGTCATACGCCGATGGACAGTCCTCGATTCGTTTCTGCCCCTTAGCCAGCTTCTCCGCGATGGCCTGATTCCGCACCGCTCGCTTGTGCTTCTTGGTGCGCTGGTGATTCCGAAACGCTTGCGTCTGGACATCAACTGCTCCTTCTCCCCCGTGGCCGTAGTTAGTTCCGGGCCCTGCATGACGCATGCACATACTGCACCTCACAGAGGGGAACCCGACCTTAGTCTGACATAGCACAAGCCATGGGAAGTCCGAGGACCATTCCTTCTTAAACCGAAAATGCGCATCCTAGTACTTGTTCTCCTCCTCGTCGATGATGGGCATTGAGTTTAAAGATGCGTCAGGGAAAGAGGGCACAGGATCGGCAGGCACCGTTACGGTTGACGTGGGAGGCGGTGCTACCCGCGTGCGGCTAAAGCTGAGCGTGACTTGGCGGTACCGGGCACCGAGCAATTTCTTGGACATGCTTGGACCCATGCGGGTGGCACCATGCGCCAATGATGCCACACTTGCTGCAGGAAGTGGCGCTGCTGGAATCGGCGCGGCACGGAATGGCGCTGCTGGAACTGGCGCTGCAGGAACCGGCGGTGCAGGAACCGGGAGTGCTGGAACCGGCGGTGCTGGAACCGGCGCAGCTAGACTAGGCGGTGATGCTGCCAATGGGTTAGATGTCTCAACAGCACTCTCTGGCGGGGTGAAAGAGGCAGGCACAGCGTGGACTCGCCTCAGGAAGTCTAAACCCGCCAGAGCGCAGGACCTAGAGGCAAGGGTGGGCTCAACAGGGGTCTGACTACAGCTGCCAACCCTATCTGGTTCCGCCATGGCGATGGGCTGGCTGTAATGCCCAAACGCATGGGCGATGCCAGTAACAGATCGACGAGGAGGAGAGGCATTGTCTCTCAGTTTGCCTCTGACCTAAAAGCACAGCAGTGTGAAGCTGGGTGTGAAAGAGACGCGTGGCTGGGAAGGGCGTTTCAGGTGCAGCAACGACGAAGTGTGGCTTGCACGCCGGTGCGACGAGGGACAGAATTGGAAGGGATATGCATGCACAATTCGTTCGACCAGTCGAAATTCCGTCCCTTGCTGCTAACAAGCCGGCCTTGCGTGGTGCGCTGGATCACACTGATAGGTCTATCTAAGCTGAAATTGTGCGCAAAGGAGGAGTCGCGCAAGTCTGAATGTTCTGGTGTGTATGGGCGGAAGACCACTCCCTACCAGCGAAGCCCAGGAAACGCGCATGAAGGTGGGTGTTAGTGCGATTCCTGGGCATCTTCGATGGGAATCTGGGGATAAGCCTAGTATCGTCCCCAGTCAGTACTGGAGGCCTGTATCAGGGCTGTCCCCGGTAATACCCTGAGGCCTCAGGGCTTGGCAAATCAGAACACTCTGAAATAGCAGGGCCCTATAGAACATACATCCTGAAATTTCAAGCCAGACAAAAATGAATACCCTAAAATCTCAGGGCTCAAAAATAGAACACACCCTGAAAATCAGGATTTCTGAGTGTTTTATCCTAATATCTAAGGCGCCGGCTATAATCAATCAGTTGTTCTCATATACCAGTACAAGGGTTCAACTCAAGACTTCCGCTGTGCTATCAAGCACTCTATTACCGTAATCCTCCATATAAAGCACCATGTGGTGTTAATAAAAATGCATGAAAAAATTGGGATGGGTGTAATCAATGGCAAACAAGGGTCAACGGAATCGTCATAGGGTTGCAGAGCTATAATTCTCAATTTGAGTTTTTAGGACATTTTATCGTGTATGTTCCATTCCAACATCATGCGTACAGACAATTAATGAAATAGTGTCTTACATTTTACACTTGGAAACATACTATAGTGCAATTACCATTTGAATGCACTTAGTGATTTCGTTTCCATACGTCATATTTCAAAGCACTGTACATAACTTGTTGTGAAATTTTATCTGGGTCTTTAGGGTGTAGTCCTATAACATGATCCCAGGATCAAACATGCGGGAAATCCGACTGCACTATACTCAAACGTGTTTTAACCGTTTCACCGCATAGTACCAGGAAACAGGAATACGCCCTTGAAAAAGGCAAGGCAAGCCAAAAAGTTAACACGTCTATTTCACTCGGACCGAACCACGATATCACCAACTGAAGTCTGGAACCAAACCATTGCGCTAATCAAACTTGTCACTGTGGCATTTCTGTTTTTCCACCCTTTAAAATTTGCCACGAGGGCCAGATTACTTGGAGTCTCATCTCTCATTTTTCTCGCCAACTTGAACCCTTGTCTCCAACTACTCCCATGTTTCTCGCCAGCAACGGTTCCTAATGCGCCTCCTTACCTCTCACCGGTATTTTAATCATCTCCCTGACTGCTAGCTATGTGTAACGCTTCTATTCATTGCACCTTGAAATATTTTTTTTTGTTGCACCATACTGTTAAATTATATATATATGTTATATAATTGTAGGCTTGGTAGGCATTACTGAACCTTACTGTAGAAGGTACAGCACCCCTCCTTGTATCCCTCTCTCTTCTATTCTCGACCTCTTTTCTCTCCTCAACTTTACTAGCCTAAAACCTCTCGCCATTCCATGGCTCCTCCTACTCCTAGCTAGCATATTCTTTCTAGTCTTAACATGGTATCAGAGAAGGTTGCCCTTCCCAGGCCTTCTCCCCATGCTTCCGCCACACACTCCTTCTCTACCTCTCGCGCTGCCATGGTGGCCGCGTCGTGCTGCTGTGGCGGCGTCGTCGTGCCGCGGCCGTCTCGAATCGCTGCTGCGGAGTCGCGCTGTCGTTGCATCAACGTCCAGCCGTAGCGGCGGCGTCGACGTCCAACCGTCTGTGGCGCCGCCAGACCTGCCGCACGCACGTCAGCCACGGGCGTGATACTGGACCACGCCCCCCCCCCCCCCTCTCCCCCTGCGTCCCCTCTTCCTCGCCGCAGCCGACGGCTGACTCTCGCTTGCCGTCCCACCGTCGCGGAGCTTGGCCACGCCACTGCTGTCGCCGCTATCGTCGAAGCCGCCACCGCTGTCGCCGCTGGCCTGTTGCCGCCGCTGCTGCAGCTGTCGTCACTGCTGCCGCTGCCGCCGTCGCCGTCTCCTGGGCCGTGGGGTTGGCCATGCCGGAGTTGTCATGGCTGCTGCTGGAAATTGGGCTGCTAAGTTAGGGGGTGTGGTGTGTGCGGGTTCTTCAACTACCAAGCCTAGGGGGTGTATTAAATTATATATATATGCTATATAATTGTAGGCTTGGTAGGCGTTACTGAACTTTATTGTAGAGGGTACAACACCCCTCCTTGTATCCCTCTCTCTGCTATACTCGACCTCTTTTCTCTCCTCAACTTTACTAGCCTAAAACCTCTCGCCATTCCATGGCTCCTCCTACTCCTAGCTAGCATATTCTCCCATTCGCCCACTCTCTCATTCTCCCACTCACGCACTCTATCATTCTCTGATTCTCGGATTTTCTCATTGTCTTGTTCTCCCGTTCACCCACTCTCTCATTCTCTCATTCTCCTACTCACCCATTTCTCCCGGTCTCTCTTTCTCTCTCTCTCTCTCTCTCTCTCTCTCTCTCTCTCTCTCTCTCTCTCTCTCTCTCTCTCTCTCTCTCTCTCTCTCTCTCTCTCTCTCTCTCTCTCTCTCCTCTCTCTCTCTCTCTCTCTCTCTCTCTCTCTCTCTCTCTCTCTCTCTCTCTCTCTCTCTCTCTCTCTCTCTCTCCTATCTCTCTCGTCCCATTTTTTACCTCTATCTCATGAGTCGTTCATTTCTTCAATCCTCATTTCCATTTTCCCAGTTCTACCATGCATTATCTTCTCAAATAAACTTGTGTTCTTTTCATGTTATCTCTTTCTTTTTGCCACGTGTGTTGGTGCTTCAGGAATGCCGTTAGAAAGGATCTGGTTTCCAACTGTGCTTTTTATCTACAGTAGACTGCCACATCACATAACATGTTTCAATTGCTTCTACTTGTCGCCTTTCTTTCTCGTGATGCATTTTGGGGTCCAAGTTTTGTGTCGCTGCCATTTGCTTTGCGTTGCTGCCCTTCTCCATTCTGCTACTGCTTGCTTGATACACGGATAGTGCATTTTGTATATGCAATAAAAAATATTGTACTGATCGTTTCGAGTAAGGTTCTTTGATTTTCCACCTTGAGTGCAGTCAACTGAACTGGAGATGATAAGTGCAATCTATTTTCTTGCAATCGCAACATGCATTTCCTTTAAAAAAAAAATGTGTGATCTATCCATTAGGCTTTCAACTTCCCCCACTTAGTTGGGGAAGCGATTGCCTATTTTTGTCGCCGACAAAAATACGTCACGCGAAATCATGGGAAACATTTGTCGTGGCACTGGGATAACCCTGTCGATCCTCTCTCTATCTCTAGGGAGGGTACTAGGGAGGCTTTCCTCGGGGAAGGTAGATATATTGAGCCTAACCCACCTGATGACATCCCTTTTTGTCTCAGTGGTTAGGACTGGTGACTTTATGACTTGGTATTAGAGCCTTCTAGGGTTCAATTCCTGGTGTACACGCTATCCCAGCGGGGGGGTGTGTCATGGCACTGGGATAACCCTGTCGATCCTCTCTCTATCTCTAGGGAGGGTACTGGATATATGGAGCCTAACCCTCCTGATGATATCCCTTCTTGTCCCACTGGTTAGGCCTGGTGACTTTATGACTACATCTACATTTTTATTTTTTCTTTCCATTATTTTGTTATATTTTCCAATACTATAGTGTAATTACTACATTTCACTATATTACACATTTCAATTACTCCCTTCCACATATCGCGAAATGATGGAAAACATGAACTATTTTTCATCATTGTTTCGTTTCAAGTATTATGTTGTAGTAGTGATATAACATGTATCAATTATTTGCCAAACTAAGCTAATGAGGCTATGTAGTTTAGATGAGTCATCCACAATATATTGCCAATACTCCCCATCATTTTGCTTCAATAATATCAATTTTTTTCATAAAACTTGATAAAACTTGAAAAAAAGAATCTCGTACGATCGATCGCAATAGGTTGCTCCACAACCCAAAAAAAAACAAAAGAAAAAAACAAAAACAAAAACAAAAAAAAAAACAAAAAAAAACTCCCAGGAGCTGTGGAACATGCATATGGCATTCCCAATTGGAATTCAAATGTGCATGTTTTACCACCTTCACTCGAGTCAAACGACGGCTTTCGTTCACCACATCGCGTACCTGACGATGTGGCCTAGTTGCATGCCACATCGGCAGTGAACGTGCAGAGTCAAGCAGACAGCGTGTGCAGCAGGCGTGACCTGTGTCCTGATGAGTGACGGTTTCCCGACCAGTAAGAGGCACCGGGCGTTTGGTTCGGCTTGGCGTGCTCGATTTCGCGGTTTTCAAGGACTTTCAACACGGCAGATTCGGCACACGCAGCACAATGGCAACTAGCTCGTTTTCCCCACTCCCACTGATGTTGATACCGTTGGCACAGCAAGAGAAGAAAAAATAACGGCAGCACACATCTTCACATCGCAAATTCTTGTGTTTCTTGAAAAAAAAAAAAGATTCTACGCGGCAGGGGGGTGTTCAAATGTTTACACATCCAAGGGTAGGGTGTTGTTCTCAGAAACAAAGTGTTATGAATGAACAAGCAGAGTAGCGCAAAAATGAATAACGAAATGTTCACTCAGTGAATATGACGATACAAGGAATGGCAAGCCAAGATATAGGAACACCAGAGCTAGTCTAACCATGCGATGGTAAGGTTCGGGAAAGAGATTGAAGGGTCTCGAAGTGACGAAGCGAGGCCCGGAGAACTCCTGAAGGTCGAACTAGTAGGTCTGGAGAGGCCGAGGCGGTTCTGTCAGAAAGGTCCGGAACAGTCCCGAGGCTTCAGGTGTGTTCGAGCGTACGCGATTGCAGTACCGCTGGGTAAGGAATAGAAAATTCCTTACACCACCCCCCCCTTTAGCGAGGGTGATCTATATCAGTCACGTGCTTGCGGGCCAAATAATTCGCAAGTATCGGAGGTGATTGTATCTGGTCCGAGGGCACCCACGTGTCGTCCTCACTGGTACGATTGGTCCATCGTATCAGGAAGTCAACGTGTCGTCCTTGGCCGTCGATACGAATCCGATGGCTAAAAATCTTCGAAGGCTCGATGGTCGTCTCGGCTAGTCGCCGTACATCTGGGACCAATCACTGGCGGGCGATGTCGAATGTGTCAGGAACGAAGGGTCGCAACAGGCTCACGTGGAACTTGTTGTGAATACGCCAGTCATCAGGTAGGCGCAACTGGGCAGTCACCGTCGTCACCATCTTCATGATCTTGAATGGGCCATTGAAACGTGGGCGTAATTTCGTCGGTAGTGGCAGTCGTAAATTCTTGGTGTCCAACAGGACTAGTTGCCCTACTGCCATTGTAATATCCCTGCGATGTAAATCCGCATTCCGTCAGGCAGTTGCATTCGCCTTGCGTAAGTTCGACGGCTTTGTCTCAGGCAGTCTGTAATTCTTCGACAAACTGCTGCGATCGTGGTACTTGACTCTCAACGTTGGTGGAGACTGGTACTGTAGGGTCCATCTCGTAATTGAGATAAAACGGGGAGTGATTAGTCGTAGCTGAGGGCGCGTTGTTGTAGGAAAATTCCAACATAGGCAGCACGTCCTCCCATTTTTTTCGGTCGGGGCAGTTTGTCCGAATCAGCTGCTCCATCGTTTGATTCGTCCTTTCAGTCTGGCCGTCCGTTTGGGGATGATAAGTGGATGAGAACTGTAGACGCGTGCCGTACCGAGCCCACGTGTCCTGCCAGAATTTTGACGTGAACTTCGGATCTCGATCGCTAATGATTGCTGCTGGTATCCCGTATAAGCGAACAACAATCGAGATGAACAGGCGCGCAGTTTCTTCGGCTGTGATGGTTGTACGACATGGTGCAAAATCCGCCATTTTCGTCAATCGGTCGAGGACAACCAAAACTGTGTCGTTTCCGCTGGGTCCGGCCGGTATTCCCATAACGAAATCCATCGTTACATGTTGCCATGGGCGTTGACGTGGCTCGAGGGGCTGCAAATGTCCTGTAGGTCGCTGGTGGGATGACTTCATTCGCTGGCAGATCGGACACGCGGCCACGTAACGCTGCACATCCGTCACCATATCTTGCCTGTAATAAAGCCGCTGCAACGCCTTCAGAGTTTTATCAACCCCGAAATGTCCCGATAAATTTGAATCGTGAACTTCTTGAATTAATAATTCGCGAAGAAGACGATAACTTGGGACCCAAATTCGATCTGTTCCGCTTCGTAAGTATCAGACGCCTTTCCGTGTAGTGATTGGGAGATGGCTGTCGTTTCCGAAGAAGGGGTGAGTCGAATACCCGTGGGTAAATAGTCCACTCAGTAGCGGGTTGCTTTGGGCGACTAGTACTGATGCGAGTTGGGCAAATGGTCTGGAGAGGGCGTCGGCAATATTGTTGGTGCCTTTTTTATACGTGTTCTTGTACGTGAAATTGGACTCCAGATAGTCCAACTAGCGTATCTGCCGCGGGTTGAGATTCGGCTGGGCTCTCAGGTACTGTAGTGATTTGTGATCGGTTCGCACCGTTACGTCTGCTCCCGTCAGGTAGCACCTCCTGATTTTGAACGCATGGACAATCGCCAGCATCTCCTTGTCATGTACCGGGTAGCTGCGCTCAGCAGATTGCAGTTTCCGAGACTCGTACGCGATTGGTTGAAGACCATTGCCGAAATCTTGCATGAGCACTGCTCCGATGGCGAGATCACTTGCGTGAGTGATGACTTCGAAGGGTCGTTCCGGGTCAGCGATGCGAAGTACCGGTGGTGACATTAACATATTATTTAATGCCTCGAACGCAGCCTGCTGCTTCTCCTCCCTCTCGTAAAAAGTCCCCTTCTGCAGTAGGTCGGTTAGAGGTCCTGTTAACCCCGCCATGTTGGGTATAAACCGCCGTACTTAATTCACGAAACCCGGAAATGTTTGCAGTTGCTGCAGATTTGTTGGCGGTGTCCACTCCTGAATGGCCCGGAGTTTTTTCGGGTCTATTCGAATCCCCTCTGTGGAGATCACGTGCCCAAGGAACTCCAGTTCTTGTTTTTAAAACTCGCACTTGGAGCCCTTGGTGATGAGACGATGCTGCTGCAACCGCTGAAAACTCGCGTCTAAATCTTTTAAATGTTGCTCGCGGGTCTTGCTGTAGATCAAGATGTCGTCCAGGTAGATTATCACGCATTTGTCAAGTAGATCGCGGAACACCCCATTCATGGTGAGTTGGAACGTCGAGGGGGCGTTCGTTAATCCAAACGGCATCACCGTGTATTCGAAACTCCTGTAGCTAGTTCGAAACACGGTCTTGTGGCAATCGTCAGCGAACACCCGAATTTGATGGTAACCACCGCGAAGGTCGATCTTCGAAAAGTAGCGAGCTCCGCGAAGGTTGTCGATCAGTTCGTCCGTGCGTGGGATTGGGTAGCGCGATTTTATCGTCACCCGATTAAGGGCACGATAGTCCGTACACATGCGAAGTCCGGCGTCCTTTTTTGGGGTGAACAGGATCGGTGCTGCGAATGGTGACGTGCTCGGCCGAATGAACCCTTTTGCCAGGAGGTAGTCTAGCTGGTTCCGTAGTTCCTGTAGCTCCGGTTGAGTCAAGCGCCATTGCGTGCGTACAGTGGGCTGCGCGCCGGGCTCCAGCTCGATCGTGTGGTCCTGGGGTCGTTCGGGTGGCAGTCCACTTGGCAAGTCGTCCGGGAAAATCTCAGGATATTCCCGAATGATTTTCGCCAAGTCATCCGGGACCGAAACGCAGAGATTGTTGATGTCAGTCGCCTCGTTCAGCTCCGTCGATTCGGTTAGATCGATAGCGTATAAATCCGCTCCATTCTTGACCGCTCGCTTGAGGCACACCGCGTTGACTCGAGTCGACGTTGTCTCTGCTTCCGGCCAAGTGGGTAATTTTCGCCAGCCTTTGTCGCACTTCACTGTGCACTTGCCGGTTGTCCAATCGATCTGCGGATTGAATCGTCGCAGCCAATCGCGTCCCAATAGCACGTCGTAGCCGTCGGGCGTTGTCGCCAGCATCGGCGCGCTGAAACCAAAATCTTCGCCACACTTCATTCGAACGACGGGTACTTTGTCGCGTATCGCCAGGGGGGTGCCGTCTACCAATCGAGCGTCGACTTCGGGCAGACACCTCTCCAGTGTCGGGTGTAATCGTCGTGCTGTCTCTCGATTTATCAGGCTGTGACTCGCACCTCCATCGATGAATATTTTTATTTTTCTTCCGTTGAGTCGTCCCTCCGCCAGTACAGGATGGTCCACTAGGTCATCCCCCTTATTCAGCTGGGAGCGGTTGATAGCATGTATCGGAACCACTACTCGGTGGGGATGGTGTTTTTCGGGTGATAAGGCAGGGTCAGTAGGGGGCCCGACCGCTACTGACTCTTGGCGTTTCCCGAC